CTGTTGCGCTGGTAGCGGGAGCTTGGCGTGCTGAGGGGTGAAAAAACTCTGTTGGAAGCGGTGGTTCCTCTTGTAACGCTGACACGCAGCCGCTGTTTAAATGACCTTCTCGGCGCTCCACACAAAGTTGTGAGGAGTTTTCGGGTGTGCTGTGCCTGCAGTTTTAACTCCTGCTCGTTTGCAGCCGTTGCCTTTTTTGGGCCGTCCCGGGCTTTTCGCAGCGCCGTGGAGGTGTTGGTGCTGTGAGGTGGGTGTAATGTGGGTATCCCTCCTGGTCTGGGTACGGGGGAGAGAGCGAGGACGCCTCAAACTGGTGTACAACAGTCACCCTTCGTTCTGGTAACTTACGGCGAGTTGTGAAGAGATGCTGTGAGCTGCTGTCCCCCCGCTGTGCCGGGCAGACCAATGTTTGCTGGTGTCTGTGTTGCTCTGTGCCCTTCCAGAGTTGCTCGCCCCTCTCGGTGTTGCTGTGGTTAATTGGCCGTTGGTGCCTGTCAACACCCCGGCAGCTTCCCGGCCGCGCAGGAGCAGCAGCTCACGTTGAGGGTTGGTGTCAGCCGGAGCAGCTCAGAGCCGTACCGCGATGCTTTCCTGCTTGAGAGCAAAGTTACTTTGCTTTTGGCTTTGTGTGTGTCAGAGCGTGGGGACTGAGAGGAGCCGCCTGCGCTCGGGGCAGTGCAGGGGGTTTTCTGTGTGGAGCTGGGCAGTGAATTTTGGCTTTGTTTGTGTGGAAGTTGGGTGAACTCACTGCTGGAAGGTTGCTGGAGGTGAATATGTGCGTGGTAGCGATGGCAGGGATGGAAGTGTGGTGTTCTGTGGGTAACTTAATGAAGTTGGTGGTGTGCAGACGCGGGTTTGGTGGTGCCGTGTGTCATTTGGCCCCTGTAGGTGCTTCGGAGCCGGCGTTACTCACGTTAGCACGCAGTGATGATAAGATTGTCAGAGTTCAGCGTGGGCAGCAGCGCTGGCTCCGGCAGCGTTGTAACCCCTGATCCGCTCCTGAGCGAGGGGGGCAGGCGTACCCAGCTCACGGAGCCCGTGCTGTCCCTGCGCTGCGTTTTGACCGCGGGATCACAACTTCATACACAGACAGCAACATCAGGAGCCCAGTCCCAGAAATCCCATTAAATTCCGTTTATTTGGCTTTGTGGTTTCTGGGCTAGGCTCTGTTTGAGGAGTGGTGGTGTGTTTTAAACAACACTTGCACAGCTGGACAGGCTTAACGAGACTACTTCAACACTTAAATTACAGTGAAGTTGGAGCGTGGGGTTGTGTCTGAGCTGGATTAAAGCCTTTGTGAAGCGTAGACCAAGCGTTCCTTACAAAGTGTACGTTGAAACTTTCCACACAATCTGCTTTCCAGCTCTTGCAGGCCAGGCTGAGTTCACTGTTACAGCGGTTACTTTGTTGGTGCCTTCCAGGAGCTGGTTGCTGTTGATTGTCTTCTACCTGAGTTAGCACTAAAGGTAACTCTTCTGCTCTTTTCCAGTGAAACGCGATGTCCAGGAAAATGATGAAGAAGCGGTGCAAGTCAAAGAGCAGAGCATCCTGGAGCTGGGGTCGCTTTTGGCCAAGACTGGGCAGGCAGAAGGTGAGCCTGAACTAAGCAGCTGAGGTATTGGGTAAGAGATGCAGACGTGGAAGTGAATGCAGCCTCCTTCTTGAATGGAACAGGAGTCAAAGCAGATTTTGGCAGGAAATGTTCTCTCAGAGACAGGGCAGAAACTAAAAAATTAGGTAAACAGCATAAAATCTTAATCTCCTGTTACTTGGCCCAGTATTCCATAGGATTCCTGATGCATGGGACAGTTCAGTTTGTGACCCTTTGGCGTGTGGCCACTTCAGTTCAAGTGACTGAAGTTTTGTTAAGTTGTCGTGTTTGAGGTGAGAAGTTTCTCTTGATTTGTTTTTAATAGTCTGAGAGCCTTGTTTCGAATTGCAAAGCTTGTCCCAAAAAGTCATAGAATCCCAGCCTGGTTTGGGTTGAAGGGACCTCACAGCCCCCCAGTCCACCCCCCATGGGGTCACAGCTCCCCCAGCCCAGGCTGCTCCCAGCCCCGTCCAACCTGGCCTTGGGCACTGCCAGGGAGGGGGCACCCACAGCTTCTCTGGGCACCCTGGGCCAGGGCCTCAGCACCCTCTGGGTGAACCATTTCTTCCCAATATCCAGTCTAAATCTGCCCTCTTCCAGTTTAAAACCATTCCCCTCATTCTATCACTCCATGCCCTTGTCAGAAGTCCCTCCCCAGCTTTCCTGTAGGACCCCTTTAGGAACTGGAAGGCTGCAATGAGGTCCTCCCAGAGCCTTCTCTTCTCCAAAGTCCTTTGTCACCAGCAGCTTCTTTCTCAATTGATTTTTCTGCTGGAACATGACATCAGAAAATCCCTGCCCAGCTCCTCGCGAGAGCAGGACTCGACAGCCCTGCCATTGTGAATGTGTGAAGGGACAGAAATGGAGTTAAGTTCTCTATTCAACGATTTTTGAGTTCAGTCTGTTCACGCCTTCTGCTTCCTGGAAAGCTCAAGGCGGTGTGTTTGTGTTGTACTCAGCGGTTCAGTTTTGTTGCTGTTGCTGAAGGATGCTCTTGCCTTTTCTGGAGCACCTTTCACCTCAGGCATTTCAGGAGCTGAGACACCACATCTGTACAAAGAGCCTTCTGTGCGTGTTACTGCCCTGGTGTCTTCCAGCTGTGCACAACAGTAGTTCTGAATGTGAAGTGTGTTAAAAAACAGTCTGAAACTGGCTGGGGATAACAGGCCAGTTAAGGTTTAATCGAACTGAGATTCAACTGGGAGGCCAGAGCTGGTGTTAGAGTAATTTGTGGAGAGCCGCATGAGGTCTCGGGTAGCGGCTGATCAAGACCACAGCCTTATCTCTGTTCTGAAATGAGCGCTTGGTGTCCCGCTGGCCAGTCTTTGTAAACATGTTTTGGCCATTTAAGTGACCTACCCACGTCTACACATGTTTGAGCCTTCTGGACACTGATCCCCCTGTGATTTGTGATTGAACAGAGCTTGTGACAAAGTGGATTACTCGCACTTAGAGCAGTGCTGGAAACAAAGGTGCTATTCATCTCACCTCGCTATAGGTGTCCACATCTGTTTCCTAGTGTGGACTGCTTTATGGTCACTGGAGAAAAGTACACCCTTCCAGCACACGATTCACCTCTTCCTACAGTCAGAATTTGGAGCAGGACAAATGTAGCCTGCTGTAAAAGTGCCTGATTCTCTAATTGAAAATTGAGGACCTCAAGTCAGTTAACTCAGGTGTCAGTGTCTGTGCTGTGCAGGTGCTCTCTGATGTTTGCCTCTGTAAAGAGAACTAAACTTTGCTTGCTTTGCCTCTACACCAAGAAAGATGTGTGTGCTTGGGCTAAAAAGGGTGGAAATCATCACAAGAGTCTCTCAGTTAATGTGTGGATGTGCTGCTGGTGTGCACAAGCCTGAGAAAGGAGTCGTTGGGTGCACCATGGCCTCCAGACCGCTGCAGAACTTGGAGTGGTTTTGAGTTGAAGCTGAAGTCTGACACGAGTGTAAAGAAGTTCAGTGTATCCTCAGAGCCTGGCTAGCTGGGGAAAGGCTTAGTCATTGCAAATGACAATGTTAACTCATCAAAACCAGGCCTATGAAGGAGCAAATGTGAAATGTATCTTGTGAATAGAGGAAAACGGATTTGGCACCATTAAGAAGCCCGCTGTGTGTGTGTCGACTGGTGTGTGTTGTGCTTTCTGGAGACACGTGGGCAAGCTGAGGGATGAAGAAAGGGGAAGCAGCAGCTTGGAGATGTGCTGGTCCTGTGGGAAAGACGCTGTCACCTTCCCTTCCTGTCGGCTTTCTAGGATGGAGCAGGCTGGTGGGAGTGACGAGCGCTCGGGGCCAGCAGTGCCTTCACCTCCTGCAGCTGTTCACAAAGATGCCAGTGCAGGGCAGACACGTGCATCCTCTGATCCAAGGGGAGTGAATCCGGTGCTGCTTAACCAGGAAATCACTGAGGTGGTGCATTTTCTGGCCCAAATACAATAGATCTTGTCACTGTAGCTTTTGCTGCACACATTTTAGTTTTAGCTAGTGGGATTTCTCGGACAGATTCGAGGTGTTCCAGTGGCTCACTGGCTGCTTTCAAGCAATAACGGCCCTGAGATGAAAGGGTCTGTGAGCTGCAGCCTAGGGCAGAAATCAGCTGCAGGTTGGTGGGATCTGAAGGTTACAGCTGCTGTGCTGCTATGGGCTGAGTGTAAAACCAACCTGTAGTTTAGAGGACTGACCTCTAGTGAGCTACAGCCTTTGTTTAAAAAAATCACAATAATACAAATGACCGTCTTTATCTGCTTGGTAGAGATTAAGGATTGAACTGGTAGATTAATTACTTGTATTCTTTTTTAGGACAGTTCTAGATTTCTGTAGCATTGCTTAAAACTAGGATGGGGATAACTCGGAGCAGGAGTTCAGGTACCTGGCGTGGTAGCTTGTGGGAGCACTTTCTCTGCGGATGAGCAGCAGACTTCATTTTCCAGAGCTGCTGCTCATCACCTCTCCAGAGCTGTCAATCACACCATTACCCAGTGTTGCATTTACTTATAAAAAAAAATCCTAAAAATAGTTGACAGTTACATTGGTAGGAAAGAGACATTTCTATGGGAGCTTTGAGCTGGCACGTCTACGTGTGTCATTCGCAAAGCGCAGGGATAATGAAGCTGTTGACTTCAGATCTGCTTTCTAGTGAACTCTTGTTGGCCGAGTCAGTGGAAAGATAAGCACAGCGGTGTATTTCGTGTACTCTTTTCCTTTTTTCCCTTGAAGTTCCTCTCCTGTGTGGCAGAGCGTGTTGTGCACTGGGAGCGTGGTTCAGTTGGTCCTGAGATGCTGGTGTAACGCAGCAGTGCGCAGTGAGAGGAGCTGGGATTGATGGATCTCGGAGAGCCTCACTGCCTTGATAAATCAAACTGGAAAACTGGTGAACTCTTGGTTACAGAGCTCAAAGCGAGGGATGCAGCACTGCGGCCTGATGAGAAGCAGACCTGTTTCGGTGTTAAATGCGACGTTTTCAAGCCCTTGTGTTAGTTGTATCAGGGAAGAGCACGAGAACCAGTGTCTGGGCAGCTCCAGCTTTAGTGCTGCTTCTCTTCCAAGCCCAAGAAGGTGATCTGGAGCCCACCTTTCCCGGCTCCCATCGACAGGAGGGACACTTGAGAGTAGCTCAGGACAAAACCGATGAGTTGGAAGCTGCTGTCTGCTGCAGTTTGTTTGCTGTGGGTGAAACCGCAGTGTTTGATTTCAAATGATGAGGGTTTGTATCTGTGAGAGCTACTGCAGATGGAGTGGTCCTCAGAACGAAGGCGCTGTGGGTAAAGCCATTGTCTGCCACGGGGCACTCGGTAAAGTGTTCCTTGTTGAGTGAAAGAGGAGGGCTGGTTGAAACTGTCAGTCAGCAGGGCTCGTTCTTCAGTGTTACAGTGTTAGCTCCTCAATTCTAGAAAAACCTGCCCGTTTTGGGGGGCAGAGAAAGTAAAACTTTTATGAAATCTCAGGCATGGCAGTCATAGCATCTTGTTTGTTCCTGGTGCAAAGTCCAAGTGGTTTGCTGTCGAAAAGAGTCCTGATTTGTTGCACTGCTGTTTGGAAAACAAGGCTCCTTCTAAGGACTCGGGGTGCACTCGAGATAAGTTTAGTTTGTTTTAAAACTGCGCTTTGAGATGTGTAAAATGAGAGTACGTCACTGTGAGCAATTGGGTTGGAACACACCGAGCTCTGCTTCTTAACAGTGTAAGAAATTGGCTGAATCAGGCTTGATTAAACTTCTAAAATAAATAGATTGAAAACATAAAAGATATAAGGCAGACTTTTTAGATATTGTTAAGGTGTTCTTCTAACAACTCTTTTGCATTACTGCTTAATGAAATACGAAAGGAAGCTTTGTTTCAACTCTTTTCACTGGAGTCTTCCCAAGCTGAAATTCTACCAATGCTTCTCTGTATATCAGTTGAAATAAAACTAAACTAAGAGGTTAATGTAATTTCGATTCCAATACCAGTTTGGTACAGAGTACACTGAAGATTTCTGAAATACTCATTACAGGTTTTGTTCTGGTGTTTGGTTTTTTTACTATCAGATCTTGTGAACGTTGTCATACCAATTGGCCAATGTTTGGGTGAGACTTAAAATTCGGAGGCGCATAAGCTGCGATTTCAGCACGCGGCCCCGCCACTTTGGGTCGGCGCTGAGCCCCGCGCCGTGGCGGTGCTGTTCTGCTGACCGTGACCTGACATCGCTGCAGACGCCTGCGTGTTTATCGCAGGAGAGGACTTGCAGCTTGTGCTGTGCAGTTCCCACACACAAACCCCTTCTGTTTCCATGAGCTGCTGCCGCATTCCTCCCTTCTGCAGGAGTGATGTTTTTAGTGTATCTCTTCATAAAGACTTTGGTGAGCTCGAGACTGGCTTTATACCTGTAAACCGGTAAGGTGTCTCGTAGAAACAGGAATCTAGGGAAGTCAGGTGAGATCCAGTTAGGTCACGTGGGCCGTTGTGTTAAGAAACGTCATTTTTTCGGCAGTGGCGTGCGGGGTGTATCTGATCTAGGGCCAGTTAGGCCTGGCAGGGTAAAATGCCAAACTGTGAGTTAATAAAAGTGTACTTAAACTGTAAACCCCATTGCCCGTTTTATAGAAAAATCTCAAAGCATTTAGCAGATCCTTACGTTTTTAAAACGCGCCCGAGGCAAGCGTAGCTACAAATGGTGTTATAGCTGCAGTAACGTGCGCTGTGCGGGTGAGACTGGGGCCCAGCAGCCACCTCTGCCAGCCCCCGTGTTTACTGCGGGGCATTCCTTCAGGTGATGTTTATCGCTCCTTTCCCATAAATGATGTTGAGAGACCGCTTATAAAACGTTTGGTGTAATAAATACTGCTGTGTACAGACGTGTCGGGCGCTCCAGCTGCGCTGTGAGTGGAATGGTTGTAATTCGTGGTGTGGTTTTTCTGCATGCAGAGCTGGGAGGACTTCTGAAGTACGTGCGACCCTTCTTGAACTCCATCAGCAAAGCGAAGGCAGCCCGCTTAGTCCGGTCCCTGCTCGACCTGTTCCTTGATATGGAGGCAGCGACAGGACAGGAGGTGAGATTTAAATCAGCGATACTCTGTTCCTCAAAAGCCTGTAACACCATTATCTGACCTACTTGCTTCACACTGAAGAACTGCTCACGTCAGGAAACGTTCATTTAATGCATTTGGATATGTTCTATTAATAAAACATTAGATCATTTACTTCACTCATAACCATGTTTCTCTGCAAGCCTCATCCTGCTGCAGGTTGGGAGCTGCTCTCACCCTGGTTGTTTTTCTTGGGTTGGCGTTGCTTGCTGTTAGATGCACAACATTAGTGGTATTTTGTAGTGTGATTAGTGTTTGGGATACCAGGTGAGGCGTGCTGTCCCTGCTCTGGGGAGGTCAGCCTAATGGCAAGGTGCGGGCAGTGTGTGATGGCACAGAACCAGAGGAGCGAGCGTTCAAGGTGTGTTCAGGAGCAGGTGGGATTAGATGGTGAGTATTGCTTGGTACCTTTCTGCTGGAGAGGAGGTGGTTCTCCCCTTCTAGTCTGCTCTCCTGAGACCCCACCATCCTGCTCTGCATCCCACTCTGGGGCCTCTAACACGAGGAGGCCATGGAGCTGTTGGAGTGAGTCCAGAGGAGGCCAAGGAGATGATCAGGAGCTGGAGCAGCTCTGCCATGGGGACAGCTGAGAGAGTTGGGGTCGTTCAGCCTGGAGAAGAGAAGGCTGCGGGGAGACCTTATAGCGATCTTCCAGGACATGAAAAGGTACAGGAGAGATGAGGAGGGACTGTTTACAAGGGCATGGAGTGATAGGATGAGGGGTGATGGCTTTAAACTGAATGAGGGCAGATTTAGACTGGATATAGGAGGAAATTCTTCACTCTGAGGGTGGTGAGGCCATGGCCCAGGGTGCCCAGAGAAGCTGTGGGTGCCCCCTCCCTGGCAGTGCCCCAGGCCAGGTTGGACGGGGCTGTGAGCAGCCTGGGCTGGGGGAGCTGTGACCCCATGGGGGTTGGACTGGGGGGGCTGTGAGGTCCCTTCCCACTCAAACCAGGCTGTGGTTCTGAGACATGAAGATGTATGACATGAGTACACAGTGCAGTAGACATCTTGCTCTACAGAGGGCTACTGAGGTGTGAAAATTACTCCTGAAGTGGGAACGGAAAAAGTTTTGCAGCTATGAAGTGTGAACTACTTCCAGTGGATGAGCTTCTCCACTAGAAACCCCATTCGGTAGCCCCCAGTTAGGATTTGCTCTGGTCTCATTAGCTCCCTAGAGTGTGGTGATGGTTCTCTCTGTCTGATGAGGAGCCACTTACAAGCGGTGCTGCCCTGCAGTGGTACAGGTACTGGCACAGCAAGGCACTGAGATGGAAGGGGAAGGCAGGGAGGGCCTCAGCAACAGGTTAAGGACAGAGCCTGCATAACGCTGCACACACAGTGACTGACAAATTGCAGCCTAGAAGAGGTTCTGCCGTGTTGAGAGGCAGATGGCATTCTTGTTAGCCAAATTAGCACAGAAATATCATCATTTAGTTCAGGTAACCTAGGAAATGTGCTTTGTTTGCTGTTCAGTTCTTGTGGCTTGTGTGTCGCGTTACTGTAAAAGGTGACAGACTCTTTTGCCCCTCTTCTTTAATGGAGGAGGTTAAGGGATGTGGGTGGGATGTGCAGCTGAGAAGGGAACCCCTAAAGGGGTCAGGAGAAAATGAGTGACATCAGACTTTTACTGAAGGTAACGTGATGTAAATGACGACATTTGGATGCAGACCCAAAAGGTGACATTTCATGGCAGGGAAAGAATTTGCAGTGACACTGGTGGAGACATGGCCCAGTTAGTCAAAACATTCACTCTCAAGCATATTCAGAAGCCAGACCCAAAACCTTAAGGAATTATAGCACCTAACCTGTGAGGTTCTTGGTGCAGTAACCCTGAGTACTTTCAGTGCTCAGAAGTGTTCAGAAGGACGTTTTCTTCTCTGGTGTATCCTATGTTAAGTAGACTCCCAGGAGTCCAGTAAAGCAATGAAATTAGAGATTTCTCCAGCTCCTAATGTTCCAGCTATCACTGTGTAATAAATTGCAACTTCATAATGGCTTTTCATAAAGTGTCCCCATTTAATAAGCAGTGATGAGGAGCTGACAGGTCCTGCAGTGTCGTGCAGCTACAGAGCTGCTCCAGCAAGAGCTGCCATCCAGAGAGTTTGGGAAAAGACACTCCCGAGCCCAGCACCTGTGTATTACTGACCAGTATGAAATCAACACCCTCTGCTAATCGGGGTGGAACACGACTGCTTTATTCATCAAGGGAATCTCCGCAGTCTTAAAAATATGAGGAGCCATTGGGTTCCTTTACTCTGTTTTGAAGTGATAGATAAAACATCCTGTGTCACCTACTGACTGGCTGCTGGCGCCTCACTCGGCTGGAAATAGTGGAGCCTGGCACCTCTCTTGCTTATACTGCTGGAGGACACACATGATCTGACATATTTAGGCCCTAAAACACACACACTTTCTTCTCCTTTCTTTCTAAAGCAATTGCAAATACATTTTTCTGTGGCTGAATGAAATGGTGCAAAACGCACTAGAAGGGGCCTCAAAGTCTTCTAGTCCATCCCTCGCCCAAAGGCAGAATCAGTTCTCACGTGCCCAGATGTTTTAGTTTCAAGCGAAGGCACAGCTGTTTAAGAAACGCTGTTAGGATTTCA